AGAAGGAAGTTTAGAGGAGTGACTGTAAGCTTGAGGCATATTTTGGAGAAATAGGCCTTGAGTAAGACAGAGCAGTTATCTAACTGCCTTCATCAAATGGCTGCTTGTTGCAATCCTATCTAATAAAGAGGGAATATGCTAATTGACCATCACACCCTCACAAAGATGACAGCGCCCACAGCCAATAAGGAAGGAATATGCTAATTGACTGCCACATCCTCAAAGATGGCAGCACCCAGTCCCCTCAACCCTGCCGGGGCTGCAGGCGTGCGGCATGGCCAGGCCCACCCTATGCACCTGCCTCTGGAGTCCCCCAGTCTCCTCAGCCCCCCAGTTACCCAGGGCCTGCCCAAGGTGTAGGCAAGCCACCTGAGGCTCAGGTAACCAGGGTCGGCCAAGGCTTTAGCTGCCGGCAGTGGTAGCAGCACAGGTGTCGTGGGGTGTTGCCTTCCCCTGATGGCCAGGTCGCCTCCCGCCCCTGAGGGCTCCTGGACTGTAAGAGGGGACAGGCCGGGCTGAGGGATGCCCCTTCCACTGCATGAATTTTCATGCACCAGGCCTCTAGTTCTTAATAATGAGATGAAGTTATTACTTGTTTTAGGGATGCTATTATTCCTAACCAAATTTAGAATCAGTAATATTTTATGACTTTTGATTTTTACCTTTAAAGGAAAAACATTTTCTTAAACACAACCTTTTTCTCCTTTCATAATTATAGTATAAGGCTCCTTTCCAAATATCTCCTTTAAGGCTATGAAGGGCACTCATTTTGAATATCAATTCTATAAAACAATTTTAAGGATGAACAAATATGGTTAATAGCTTGGTAATTATTATCTAAACTAAAAACATTACTTGATTTGATAGGTAATATGTAATAAAGTGATTAAAAGATTTAGAAATGCATGAAAATTTTTTTAACATTTAAGAGATTTAGGGAAGATATCTTGTGGAAGCTTCTAATAGGAGAAACTTCTAAGTGTTTACCATCACTGATAAAAAAAAAAAAATAATGGAAATAGAGCCGTGAGCCAAAATTTATTTTGAAAGGCAAGTTCTATAAACATGAAAATTGTTGTTGGCCGTACATAGTCATGTTGAGTCTCCGCAGCTGTTTTGCTTGGGAGCCTTCCGAGCTCTGAATGACGTGGTGGTTCCTCCTGGGAAGAAAGTGATGGAGTGTGTCGTACAGATTAATCAGAATCTCTCATAAATTAAAAGCTGCTTCTTTGTGCCACGAATTAAGGTCTCACTTCTATTACTATACTTTTCTTTTTTAGTATTTACAATTCGTAAAAAAAAAATTGATTTCCTCTCTAAATGCTACACCCCATTTCCACCCCCGTCATACTGGCAACTGTGGCAAAATGTACTGTGGCTGGGCTCCCAGTTCCTAAATATAAAATCAAAGATCTGTATGGGGAAGTGATAGAGCTTGAAAGTTTACTGGACAACAGCGTAGTGTTATTTTATAGATCTACTAGAGGCCCGGTGCACAAAATCCATGCACGGGGTGTGTGTGTGTGTGTGTGTGTGTGTGTGTGTGTGTGTGTGTGTGTGTCCCTCAGCCCACCTGCACCATCTTCAATCTGGGACCCTTCGAGGGATGTCTGACTGTCCATTTAGGATTGGGCCTAAATGGGCAATCAGACATCCCTCTCACAATCCAAGACTGCTGGCTCTCAACTGTTTATCTGCCTGATTGCCCCTAACCGCTTCTGCTTGCCAGTCTGATCATCCCTTATCTACTCCCCTGCCAGCTTGCTTGACACCTAACTGCCTTCCTCTGAAGGACTGGGTCCCCCCGAACTGTCCTCCCCTGCCAACCATCTTATGTGTTGGAACGATTGTCAGTTTGCATATTACTCTTTTATTAGATAATATACAAAAACATAGTTAGCTAGCATTCAGCATTTTCAAAGCAGGTGGGATTTTTTTCTTTTTAGGAAAACAAAAACATTTGTCTTAGTTCAAAAGGTGATCCAAGAAAGTCATATATATATATATATATATATATATATACACACACACACACACACATATATATACATACACACACACACACACATATGTGTGTGTGTGTGTGTGTGTGTGTGTGTATGTGTATGTATATATATATTTAGAGAAATATGCTAATCAGATGCCATAATGGGTCTACTGGACAGGAGGAATTTGCTCGCATAGCATCAGGGGCCGAGCAGCAGGGGCCTCTGAGCAGCCACTGCTGCTTCAAGGGCCGGAGAGGGAGGCAGGGCCAGACCAGTGACTCAATGGCAGGCGGTGCCGCATGATTTCAAATAGTGCGCTGGGCTCCTAGTTTCTTTATATTATTATTTTTAATAATATATTTTATTGATTTTTTACAGAGAGGAAGAGAGAGGGATAGAGAGTTAGAAACATCGATGAGAGAGAATCATCGACCAGCTGCCTCCTGCACTCTCCCCACTGGGGATGTGCCTGCAACCAAGGTACATGCTCTTGACCGAAATCGAACCTGGGACCTTTCAGTCCGCAGGCTGACGCTCTATCCACTGAGCCAAACCAGTTTCGGCTATATATTTTTTATATTTCAAGATGTTTACTCTGTTGGGTTGCTCATATATTAATACCTGCCCTTAGATTTTAAAAGTGAAAGGTGATGAATGCAAAGCAAGATCATTACCTGATTAGTGTTCTGTCCATCTAACTGCTGACTTCACAGATGTCATCTTCAGTGAATTCCCATCAGTTGATTTAGCACTAGCTCTATAGGCAAGGCACAGTTGTTAAACTTATCTCTCTAGTTTCTGGTCTAGTTCAGTGCTTTTCAGGTAAATATGGTGCACGACAAGTTAGTTGTTTGCTTGTTTTGTTGTTTTTAATTTCCAGTCCATCACAGACCAATACTTTTTTAATATAATAAAAATTAATTACTAGAAAATGAAATTTAACAGCTATATAAAATACGCCCCAACTTTATAAAATTATTTTTAGATTCAACAGTTATAAAAGTATTATGTCAAAGTACCTTAAAATTTTCTAATCTTTTATTCTCAGAATCCAGAAACACCTATATTCTCATGAGTCAGCAATTATTTTTGGATAATACTGATTTGTGGATCATGCACTGAGTTGTACTGGTCTTTTTGCAAGGGACAGAAGTATCAACTACTCTCTATGCTGAGGCTAAACGTACTGAATACACATCATATTTTTCTGCCCACACAATTATTACTTATTGTCTTCACTTAGCCTGGAGTGCTCTCTCTCGCCATCTCCAGCTATTGAAATCCCATATGGCCATCAAGGTGTATTTCAGATGCCATCTTTTCACCATATCTTCCATGCCCTCCCACCATTACCAACAACAACTGGGTGTGAGCTTTCCCTTCTCTCTTGATATTTGTGGTCTGCCTTATGCCATAATTATAAGAAGGCAGTATAATGTCATAGTAAAGAAGTTTGGGCTCTGGAATCAAAGAAAGCAAGACTCAAGCCCTTGCTAGGTAACCATGAACAGTTCTTAACCTCTCTGTCTCATCTATAAAATGCTTATGAATACGGTATCTATCCCAAAAGGTGGTTATAATTCTTAGATAATCTATGAGAAGCATCTTACATAGGAGGTGGCACACACATAATAAGCTTTGCATTATTTGTTCCTGACTTCTCTATTATCCTTTATTAAGCACAGTTCCTTGCTTTATAAATATTAATTGAATTTTAAGTGTTTGTGTCATTTAAATAATTGTTTTTTCTCAGTGCTTACCAGATCCTAGGACACTGATTGGTGCAGTCAGGCAATTTCCAATCAGGAGCTGTTGACTTGCACTGCTTGGTATTAGGGAGAATTACTCTGTGCAAGGATTTTGCAGGACTTCACCAGAGGCTTAGGTTCATTCTCAATGGCAGTTATTTATATTCCACCCTTTCCATCTCTTCTATCCATTGTGAGTGTCTCCACCATGTCCCCCATTGTCATGCCTGCTCTCAACACTTGGTGATTCCCAACCTTTGTGAATTGCAATCCTCAAATGAGTCTATTGTTCTTGTTGTTCCTCTATACTTTTGAAAGATTTGTTATGCAATATGTTACATATGTAAAGGAATGTAAATGAAAATAAGTTTACTTAAAATGACAAACCTTGAGAAATTTAGCAGTAATCTTGACTCTCAAAACCAGGTTTGGGATTCATTAACTATGTGTCATACCATCTTGTCCTCATTTAACAGGATTAAAATTATTAGTAGTATGGCTTAAAGTTATCTCGCTGGGTTTATTTATGCCTGAATCAATATAAATCATGCATACTTTCAAGAATTAATTTATTTTTACATTTCAATAGTACCATTTGGTCACTTGTTTAATTGATTTTAATACATGTATCATCAGTTAATTAAAAAAAAATAAGATGAGCTGATTAAGGGTATGGTTGGCACTTAAGAGTTGCTTAGCAACTTAAGGTAAATCATGTACTTTTTTCAAGGATAATTATAAAATGAATATATGTAAGTGCTTAGAACCTGGCATATAGTACACTGCATAAAGTATTTGCTACTATTTTTGTTATAATTATGATAGTTGTTGAAGGTTGGGATTAGATCCTGCCTGGTTTTTATCTCCCAGGCTTCAAAATAGTTCACACTCCATTTTTTTTTTTTTTGATTGCTAGACATTTTAGTTGAAATTACAGAAGCATTTCACCTAAACAAAAACCTCAAGAATTCCAATTCATTATGCTTCTGAGTAGTTGATGTAATTTTGACCATAATAAAATATTGACATTAAAATCCAAAATCTTTGCATATTTAAATAATGTTCATTGTTTTTGTATAATTATTTTACTTAACCTTAAATTTAAATATTTTTGTGTGATTTTTCTTAAATTAAGCCATTCATACCATTCATTTTCATATTGCAGAAAACATGTTTATGTACATTATTTGTAGTTTTAAAGTGCTTGTAATTTTTAATGCTTTTTGAAAAAATAACTAATTTTTTTCTGCTGCAACTTCTCCAGCTTACTGAAACAAATTCAAGTATCAAGTGCTTGGACTCCATGTGCTGTTTCTCAGAAGGCGAGACAGCGTGCGCGTCTGTTGGAAGAATGCTGGAACGAGTCATAGGAAGATGCAGTCGGGCCCATGTCAGCAGGTGTGAAATTTCTCTAATTTTGCAGCAGATGAGTGGCCTGTAAAGTGGAACAGATGAACATGCATCCCTAGATACCTAATAAATCAACAGCGGGTTTTACCAACTGAAGGAGGAAGAGTGCTATTTATTAGCACTCTTTGATGGTAGATTTCACTACATGGCTTTGGGTAAGGGGTTCTTTGACTAACAAAGGAAGAAAAAGCACCTTTGAAGAGACTTCTCATCTAATGAACAAAAAATTTTGCTTCATAATCTTTCTAAAATGTAAATAGGAGTGCGTGTGTAGTATTCATATTTGGTTTTTATAACTTTTTACTATGCTGCTGTCCTATTTCATTTATATTTTTGTTTGGTTGGGTTTTGTATTTACCGGTACAAAATAATCTACCTATAATAGTAAAATCAAAAGATTTTGCTTTTCTTATTCTTGGTCTATATTTTCTAGTCAGTCATTTGAGACTTTGAGGTATTTATAAACACATAAGACTGTATTGCTGTTTTCCTACTCCTTTTTATCTCTGTAATAAGGTTTATAATCAGTTGTGATTTTTAAATTTTTACTTTGTATTTATGGTCTAAAAGTTGTTAAGCTAGAATAGGCTCTTTAAATTATGGTTTATTAGAATCTTTGCATTTTTGTCTCTTCCAAAATCTGTTTCTTTTTTTAATATATATAATAATATATCTTTTTATTGATTTCAGAGAGGAAGGAAAAGGGGGAGAGAGAGAGAAACATCAATAATGAGAAAGAATCATTGATTGACTGCCTCCTGCATGCCCCCCAGTGAGGATTAATCCCACAACCCAGGCATGTGCCCTGACAGGAATCAAACCGTGACCACCTGATTCATGGGTTGATGCTCAATCACTGAGCAATGCCGGCCAGGCCCAAATCTGTTTCTTAAAAGATTTATCAGTGATGGCTTTTGTGGGTCACAACAAACAATGCAGTTTTTTGGTAAATTTAAAAGTGAAATGTATTCATTTCTTCATATATTTCCCCAAGGGACTTATTATTTAGGAGATATTATTTAGGGGGTGTTAAGGAGTAATAATAAGTTTTCACACTTTGGTCTTCTTTAGGTCGATGATATATTCCTAAAATCAAAGCAGCAATGCACTGCTGTGCATGAAGGGTTACAGATTAGCATGGATAGATGATAATTTCCATTGTCCATAGTGAACCGTGTGAATAGTATCACTTTCTATATGTGCCATGCCTTGGAAAAGGTTGGAAAGTATAGCAAGAAGAAATAAAAGCTGGCTGGTGTGGTTCAGTGGGTGAGCGTCAACCCATAAATCAGAAGGTCACTGGTTCCATTCTCACTTAGGACACTTGCCTGGGTTTTGGGCCTGAGCCCCAGTGTGGGGCAGGCAGGGGGCAATGGATCAATGATTCTCCATCATTGATGTTCCTGTCTCTCTCCCCTTTTCCCTTCCTTTCTCTGAAATCAATAAACACTTTTTTTTTTTTTTTTTAAAGAAAGTACAAGAATAGAGAATGAAGGGTGGAGGAGGCACAACTCTTACCTGTTGATAAAGGAATTTTTAGTATTTGGTTAGCTTTATGTTTTAAAAATGATAAGTATGATATTCATGAATGATAAAATTCAGGTAACTTTTTCCTGATGAACTTGATAGTTCCCACTTGCCTTTAATTATAGCCACATCTTTATGGTACAGTTGCATTTGTAAATAGCTTTTTTATGTTAATGTAATGTCTGTTGTTTCAGTCCTACTTATTTATCATAATTTAATCAAAAATATTCTCATACTGCTGTGATATCATTTTGTAATAATTTTATTCCACATAAAAGAATTACTACGAGTAGCTAAATTTATTGGGATTTACATGTTATGACTTACACAATTGTATTGTAAAATACATTATAAGATAGCAGCTTTGTCATGTGCCAGGCCAAAAAGTTCCCCAAAGGAAGTTCCAAAAGGACTGAATGTATATTATTTTACTTACTAAGACAGCTTTATTGCATAGAATTAAGGTGGGAGTTAGAATAAAAGAATACTATATATATATCTCTAATGTCACAGAATTTTTAAATTTTCTACTTCAACAGGAAGTTCTCATTAATGACAGGATACATCTTCACTGCTACAAAGAAACTAGAATTGATTTTAAGTGAGCCAATAATATTTTTCTGTTATATCTGCTCCCACTTTCTTGATACTGTTTAGGTAAAATGCCTGCATTATTTTTACACAGTCACTTTACTGCATTATCCCTCCAGAGCCTGCCCCAGGCATTATGAGATTTATTTCAGCCTGTTCTCTTAAAGCTAGCTGTTGATATCCATACTTTGTTTTCACTTAGAATTATATCATATTCTTTTTTTTTGTAGGACTTTATTTTTTTATTTTCTTAAAATCTTTAACAGCAATCAATATCTTATTTCACAGACTGTAAATATCTTTCTAATTTTGTCCAACATCTAAGGTTATAATTATCAGATGCTACTTTAATTATCTCCTTTTTGTTCTTTAAATTAATAATCTAAAAAGTGTTTTTGAGACCTGTTCTTTTATTTTTTCTAGTGGTAAAAATCATATAATATGTAAAACTAATTGGTGTTTTCAAAGGGCTATAGAAAATTGCCATAATTCTATTAAGGTTATATTTGAACTTTGAAAGTTATTTTGATACATAGAGTTTCATTCCTGTTTTTTACATGTAATTGTATTAGTGAAATATTTTTGGCATTTCTATTTTGATTTTGAAGCAGCCTTTATTCTACATTTCTATTTTATGTCTAATTTAAACGGTAGGGCAAGGCTGATACTTGTTACCAGATGTAGAAGCCCTTGGCCTATTCCATTAACATATTAAACATAAAAGGGCATCGCTTCAGAAATATAATTAGTGCTTTTATAGGACAGATTTCTCTGCTGACTGATCTTTTACTATCCAGACATATAAGTTCTACTTACATTTGATTATCAAAGGAATTTGCCATTTTGCAAGCTTGTTTTCAAAGGTAGCATCAGCCCTGACCAGTTTGGCTCAGTGGATAGAGCGTCGGTCTGTGGACACAAGGGTCCCAGGTTCAATTCTGGTCAAAGGCATGTACCTTGGTTGGGGGCACTTTCCCAGTAGGGGGTGTGCCGGAGGCAGCTGATTGATGTTTCTCTCTCATTGATGTTTCTCTCTACCCTTCTCCCTTCTTCTCTGTAAAAAAATCAATAAAATGTGTTGTTTTTTTTAAAGGTAGCATCAAGGTGCTATATGAAAGGCTATGTCATGTTGTACCCTAAAGAGCTGTTTGTTTTTTTTGTTTTTTTTGTTTTTTTAGCAATAAATGATTTTCTGTCTGTGTTTTATTAACAGTTAATTCATCCTAATCAAAACTGTTTTCTAATTAGAAAGGAGTTAATAATTGATATATAATTGAGGTGTTGATACTTATGTTTTATCATATATGTCTGAGCACACTTTTTCCTTATTCTAAGAAATATTCATAGTTCTGTTTCATTCATGTATTTTACAAATACTGAGTGCCTACTATGTACCAGGTGCAGTTCTAGGTGCTAGAAATAGAGTAGTTAACAAGCCTTTCCTTAAACTAAGGTAGATACTGTTTAAGGTTTTCTGGAAACTAGTAAGTTCTGTAAACCATTGGTATGCTTGTTGTTTGTTTTCCTCTATGCCAACTTGGTAAAATTTCCAGGTTCCAAACTTCATTGTGACTGCTCACTTAATTGATTTAGATTTGAACATACAGAGTCTCGTAGAATAGTGGTCAGCAACCTTTCGGGGCCACTGTTTGGGGACCGCTGTCTTCAAACAGCAGATATGTGATAAAAGTGAATAGGAGCCATTTTTAATGTTAATCTCTTCTCTCACATCTTTGTTTAAGGAAAGTACATAAAATGTACTTATTTAAAATTCTTTTAGACTTTAAGAAAAGCCAGCTTTGACTTGGTAATCCTTAAAGTAGGTTAGGCTTTTTTAAGTATGGCAGGCTATTTTTGATCTTTAAGCTTAAATTAATACAGCTGCACATAAGTGTTATGTAATGAACTAAAGGCCTAGTGTACAAAATTCATGCAGAGGTAGGGTCCCTCGCAGCTGGCAGGGCCCTCCCTTCCTTGACTGCCAGCCAGGGCTTTCCTTTGTTTTGCGCCGCCCCCTGGTGGTCAGCATATGTCATAGCGACACATTGACTTTGGTCTGTCGAACAACTGAGAGGACATTTTGCATATTAGGTATATGTGTGTGTATATATATATATATATATATATATATATATATATATATATATATATATATGAATGATGCTTTATGGGCCTTATCATTCAGACAGTAGTTGACTTTTCCAGACCGGTAAAAGATCATTTGTTCTTAATTAAATGAAAACCCTAATTTCATTAGACTTAGAGGTGTCTTTGATGCCTATTGAATAAATCATTCACTACATTCAAACTAATTATGCTAAAATCTTTAGAATAGAATTTATAGCTGAAAAGAAATAAATTAAGAACATACTGCTATTTTGTTCCAAATTTTTTGGTGTGATATTTGTTTGCTTCTGTGATATCAAAATACAACCTAGTTGCTTTTCACTGCATAACTCTTAATAACATACTTATTTTTTATTTATTTTTAATATATTTTATTGATTTTTTTCACAAAGAGGAAGAGAGAGGGACAGAGAGTCAGAAACATCGATGAGAGAGAAACATCGATCAGCTGCTTCTTGCACACCTCCCACTGGGGATGTGCCCGCAACCAAGGCACATGCCCTTGACCGGAATCGAACCTGGGACCCTTCAGTCTGCAGGCCGATGCTCTATCCACTGAGCCAAACAGGTTTCAGCAACATACTTATTTTTTAAATTAATATTTTAAGAGAGTCTTATATTCTGCTACCTATAGAAAATGTTTTAATGCTAATGAATGTCTAAATTTTGGCTATTTTTATCCTAGAGGCCCAGTGCACAGATTTGTGCACCAGTGGAGTCCCTTAGCCTGGCCTGCACCCTCTCACAATCTAGGACCCCTGGGGGATGTAGTGCACGAAGGGGCAGGTGGGCAGGGAAAAGCCCAGGCTGGGTGGCATGCCTCTCCCACTCATCCTGGCCCTGCTATCCCTGCCACCTTCACTGCTACCGCTCAGCAGCACTGCCACGGAGGCAGGAGAGACTCCTGCCGCCACCGCTGCACTGGCCAGCTGTGAACCCAGTGGCTGGCACCTGCCTTTAGCTGAGCAGTGCTCCCCCGTTGTCTGGTCGCTTACGCTTTTATATAAATAAATAGATAAATAGCTAGATAAATAATGATTAGAGCATTATTTTCCTCAAGTTTTATATAATATAAATGAAATGTTGGTTAAGCTCATCAAGTATAAAGAACTTCCTTTTAGCATTTAAAAATTAATGATTATTTTAATATTCAAATTGCATTTTGGTTGTAAGTTTTAGAATACATTTTTTTTTTCTCAATTAAAACATAGGTCCTGGTGAGCAAACTTTTCTCTTATTGTTATTTAGATTATGGAGTGCATCGGATCCCTTCAATACCAACGACAGGAGCATCTTGACTCTCTCCACAATGGACTCATCTACTTGTTAAAAGAGCAGTTGTGCTTTGTGGGAGCCATTCAACTCCTTTCCTAAAACTCAGTGTGACATCCTGGTAATGGCCACACCAGCTCTGCAGAATTACTTGCTGAAATCTCTGTAGTTCATACCCACTCAAAGTTACAATGGCAAACAAAAAGGGGTTTACATGAGCCACTCTCAACCCCTTTCATTTAAACCTGAACGTGTTAAAATTTGAGAACAGACATTTTCCATCTCTTTGGGTTGTCCCTTGTGTTTGTGGGGCTCCTAATGGCATTTCAGCCTCTTGCTGAGGCCACCATATTTTAATAACAAGGTTGAAAGGTAATTCCTAGTTAATGGTATTTTTAAGTATTAGCTTACTTGTTGAGTCTTCTATTTAAATCTGCTTCTGTAAATTATGCTGAAAAGTTTGCCTTGAAAACTCTATTTTTTTATTAGAATTATATCTGAAGCTTTTCATGGGAAAAGTAAATGTGAATAGTAAGAAATTTTGGTCCCTTAGTGACCCATGTTGTGAATTCATTACTGCTTTCTAAGTACATAGAGGAAATTAGGAGAATGCATTTCTAACCATTATTTACTGCACTGTGGGTATAAATATATACCAGTACCAAACTGCTCTTAATGTACGTAACACATCAGTAAAGTTAACCATATACATGCAAAGTGTGTATCATATCTTATACATAAATCGGGAATCAAGCCCATTCACCAAATTTCAAATTGATGTTTACTGATATTTTTATGGCAGAATATAAAGTGGGTAAATTAGTATCATTAACATATTATTATTTGATGTGTTTTCATTTAAACTTTTGCATGCTTTAATCTAGTTAATATATTTAAATTTTCTTTTTTTCTCTAAAAATTGTTTATAATATTTTATGACACTGTTGTAAAGTTCAACTATATCAATAAAAAGTAAGTTTGGACAGTATTTAAATATTGCAAACTTTTAATTGTGCAAATCAGAATGTTGGAGTAATTAAATAAAAAATAAAGAGGAGAGCCTCTTTCTGTGGCTTGCCTTTCAGTAAGCTAGATTATAGTGTAAAGGATCTCAGATAAGAATCCTGTTATTTTTAAGTTGGTATATGTTATTTGAGTTATGGCAGACTACTACAGCAAAGGGAAATCTGCCCAGTGTTTCATTATAAGGTATATTTGCAGGTATGGCTAAAGAATGTAAGTGAAACAAAGTCTAAAACGCTAAATTTTACGGTTTAAGAACTATTTCCCAGCCCTAAGCATATTAAAGATTGTGTACATATACATTTAAACTATATGGAAATGGTTAAATAAGGTTTTGCTAAAGTTTTCCATACAGTTGACAAAATAATTCTCTTTTATAGATTTATTTTGCAGCCTTCCACCCCTTCTCGTTTCATGAATATTAGACTTCTTGAATTGGGCTAATAGGGAATAGTCAAGAATTAAGACTTTACCTTGGTTCACTGGTAAACTATTTTCTTGCTAAAATAACCTTTGTTTCAATAATGCAAGAATATTGTGTTGTGAATTTCAGCTTAAATATTAATTTTTATAAATAGCTTTTCTTTAACTTAAATACTCCAAATTAGCCCAATAAAATGTACATTGGCTACACTTAACAATTCACATTCCAGAATAGGAAATATTGCTAAAAATATTCAGTAGTTTAATTTCATGAAGGATATTATGGAATTTGCTTTTTTTAGAATGTCTTATAACAAAATGACATTCAATTATATCTACCTAGCAGTGTTTATTTGCCATCAACTAGACTGACTGCTGACACTAGAGAAGGACTACTAAGCCATCAAGAAGTCTCTAACCTCTGCAGCAAGGCAAGTCAGCTAACCTGTATGGTGCTTAGGTTAAGGTGTGGTTGATGTAATTTCCTGCATTCCTGTTTGACGTTATTTAAAAGCTTTATATTTAAAAAATGTAAATGCATCTACTGATAATGCTTACCCTGTTCTTTTGTTCAAAACCTACTCCACTTAAAGGAAGATTATCTTATAACTGTAAGAAAAAAGGTTTTCTTCTATTTAAGAGAATATCAGCGTTGTAAGTTTCCAATAGTTTTCTATTGCTAATACTCATATTGTAAAACTTTTACTACATAACCAGGAATCTCAGAAAATTTCCCCTTTGCATATTTATTTAAAATCCTTTGGAAAATACAATGTTAATTAACTTACTCTTATCTGCCAAAACCAGAGTAAGATGCCACGTGTGTTATTACTAGTTAATTATTGGTCTCAGATCTGTTTTCCTCACGTGTTTGCCTGCAGGCTGTACCACTGAAGATAGCAGCAGGCACCAAGTCAGTTTCCAAAATGGCCTGTCAGCTGTTTTATGACTCAGCACCCTGCGCAGCTTTAGCAAGCATTAGGTTCCCTTCAGTGGGCAGGGTGTTGGCTGGTAGAACTACAGGTTTGCTGCCAGGTCGAGAATGAAGAAAGAGAAGAATTTACAGGGTGAATTTCTCTTAAAAACCATCCACCTTGGGTTTCAATTTCCATTATATCCGAAGGCTTCCCAGACCTGACCCAAGCTCTGGCACTGTCCTGGTTAGAAGATAAAAGAGGCCCATCACCCTGTTCAGAAATACTTTCACTTACACCAGGGTGTTTTCTGCTGCATAAGGTTGTGAAATTGGGCTATTGGGCATGTGTGATAAACTTGAGACTCTTATCTGATAGGCAGGAGTCAAGTGTAGTAAAAAATTTAAATTATACCAAGTTTTTCAAGTATGCTAGTCTGAAAGTGATTGGGGTCTGAGGGAACAGGGAAAATCATTCATGTTAGTATTTTTTATGTAAAGATCAATTTGGTATATGATATACTAGGTACTGATGAAAGAAACACCAAAGAGTTATGTAAATTGTGTTTTATTAATTTTGGGTCCCCTTTTAGAGACACTTATTTCTATCCTGAAATGAGTTAATTTTCATAAAAATGAAACATTATTAATGTGCTGTTTATGTGAGATAACTTGAATGACATTCCTACAAAAATAGAGCATAATTAATTATATGTTTGTAATAATGGTGACTGTTAGATTTTTATTAGGAATTAGTAACTGTAAATACTGTAGCAACACTTAATTTAAAATTTTGGACCTCAGACACTGTGGCTGTCTAATATATAAGCCTATAAAAATTTTCTGCATTTTTAGTAAATGTAGTTATTGTACAGATCTCAGTAATTTTTAAAGTTTATGAAATTATATTTATCTAATAAAATTTTTCCTATATAATTAAGTGTTTTTTCATCATTTAAGCATGTTAAGCCTCTCTGCTCATCACAACCAGCACTGCCAAATGTGTGTTGAAATACATTTTACTACATTTACCCTGCGTTGTAATACCATTAAGCTTTTCTCTAACTGCAGTTTTCAAAGTTGTTTGGTTACACAGGTTTATAGATGATCAGTACAGCTCCTGAAAAGGGGGTGTGATAGAAATGTACCAGCTGTAAAGACCAACACTTTTGAACTAGAAAGTGCATCTTTCATGAATAGCTAGCCAGGGAGAATTTGGAAATGCCTTGGTCCATGGAAAATACATGCTTTCTTTAAAATATAAGATGTTGGACTGCAGACTGAAGGGTTCCAGGTTTGATTACAATCAAGGGCACATGCTCAGAGTTGTGGGCTTGATCCCTGGTAGGAGGCAGTTGATCAATGATTCTCTCTCATGAAGGTCTCTTTCTTCCTCTCTGAAATCAATAAAAATACATATTTAAAAAATTAAATATAACTGATAGTGCATATTTACATATAAAATATTCTAACCTAATGACAATTGTTATTCCTGATGCTCAGTTGCCAGTTAAAACACACATAATTGTTTAACCAACTTTCATTTAAAGGTAAGCTGTTATCTTTGCCCAAGTATTAGTATTTGCAAAGGTGTGTGATATATGTAATGTATTTTTATTTCTGAAATGAATACGATCCTGGAAAGGTCACTTCATCTAAGCATGGTTTTCTTTAAAGGAGGTGAGGGTTTAGACAACCTTTAGGGTAATTTCAGCTTTTATTATACATCTAGAGGCTCGGTGCAGGATATTTGTTCTCGGTGAGGGAGGTCCCTCAGCCCAGCCTGCGTCCTCTCGCAGTCTGGGACCCCCAGGGATTGTGCCTAAGTCAGCAGGTGGACATCCCTCTCACAGTCTGGGACCCATCCCTCCTTACCACTGGCCTGTTCGCTGCTCCTTACACTGCTGCAGAGGGGCTCTCGCCGCTGCCTGGCTTCTGGCTGAGCAGCGCTGCTCCTCTGGGAGCGCACTGACCACGGGGGCAGCTCCTGCGTTGTGCATCTGCCCCCTGGTGGTCAGTGCGTGTCATAGTGACCGGTTGTTCTGCCAGAATGGTCACGTGGGCTTTTATTATTATATAGATATGGTGGATTGTATTTTTAATGAGTAAGAGATTTAGGAAGAAAAAATTTTATGAGCAGCATTTCACCATAAAATTTAGTAAATTTAAAAGCAATTCAAGTTTTATTTTTAAGAGCTAACTGACTTAAAAGACAAAGTTACTGTAAATGGAGATAAGTCCACATGTCTCCAAACAGCTCTTTTGGGGAGTGGCAGAGAGCCCTCTGATAAATCAGACTTTTTAAAACTGATTCTGGAGGTTTGTATTCAAGTAAAATTTGTATACAACGAAGTGCATAGACTTCAGGATTATATTCTATTGTTTGCTGGCAATCATTCCTCAACACAGTAAAGAACCTTCCCATCATCCCAAAAAGTTCCCTGGAGGGTATTCCTCCCTCCCTGACCTTAGCAACCATATTCCTGTGTTCTCTCTTCATAGGAAAGTCTTAACTGTCCTTGAATTTTTTTTAAAAAGTGGAATTATACAAGGTGTTCACTTTTGTAGGTGTTTTTATTACTCAAAATACGTTTCATTCATGTTGTTACATATACCTCCCCGTTTGTTTTTGTTACTCGGTGTTTCATTTTATGAACATTCTACTCATCCTTTCTCTTGTTTATGGACCCTTGGATTAT